ATTTCAGCATGGAGGAACAGCATGTGCAGAGAGAATGTAACATGCAGAACGCTCCAGAGCTGTGCACGTGGAGGCCAGAGGGTTTCAGGCCAGGTAGACTTCCCACGATGGGAATGAACTCACTACTGCCAGGAAGGAGGGTGCAGGCACCCAGCACTGCGAGGCTGAGGTGTAGAGTGGACTGGGCAGCATCAGGGGAGCCAGAGGGATCTGTCCAGGACTGGCCGTGAAGAGTGTAACGGCCACGCTTGTGAAAGTCATCCCGGCCATGCAGCTGGTCTGTGCCCCAACGACGGGGAACCACAGGCCATCCAGGCACGGTCCCTCCACTGGACAGCTGACGTGCAGAGCCAGGAGGAAAGGCCCTGAGGATGAGGAGGAATGATTTGGGGACTTGGAGTCCCAGGGCCCCTGGTCCAAGGCCTGGTTGCACCTCCAGCTCACTGTGGTCTTGGGAAGTCCCGCCCTCTCTGAGCATCAGCTTCCCCACCCCCATGGGTGAAAGGGCAGGCACTGGTCTTGAGTTGCTGTGAGGAGCCCTGAAGCAATGGTTGCTCAGAGCTTCGTGCGTAGAGAGGGGGTGACAGCGACTGCTCAGTTGGCCTTCCCACCTCTTCCCTGCGACAAGAGCAGGGACAGGAAGAATCCCCTGTAACTAGAATGGCATCCTGGGACAGGGATCTGCAGAGCTCCAAATACCAATGTCTGTAAGCAGGACACCCGCAGCCTAGCGTCCCCAGAGCTGCCCGCCATGAGTCTGCGCTCAGGTCTTGCCATGGGTGCTTCCTCTTCTCAAGGCAAGTTCCCTTTTTCCCTGGTGACTTGGGCCTTATGGGGGCGGAGAGGAGGGGACATTGGAGAAGTTAAATTTCCTGGGCTGACAGGGCAGAGGCCAGACCCAGTGGGGACAAGACCCAGTGCACTCCACTGATGCGGCCACTGCTGCTGGTGCAGCTGTTTCACTGTTTTGTAAAGAGCTGTGGGAGGGGACCTGGGAAGTAGAGAGGGAAGCAGCAAGCAACTATCGAGGGCTTGCCATCAGGAGGGCCTGGAGTCCTAGTTCTCCTACAACCCGTAACCTGGCCTTGGGTTTAGGTAATAGAAACCTGGGGCCCGGACAGAGAAGGTCTCAGGCAGTGGAGGAGGTATCCAGCCTTTAGGGAGGAGCTCTATGCAGATCAGCCATGACACTTGAAGATTCCAAAGGTTGGTCCAAATTAACAGGGTAGGACAGATGGAGGGCTCCCTAAAGGAGGTTAAGGTGCCAGAGCAGAGTAAACTCCAGATCTTGACAGAAAAGCAAGCAAAGCTGGACACTCAACATATGTGCCTCTGGATAGGAAATCGGAAGCACATTGTGGAGACGTGGGAAGAGTTCAAGGAAGACTTGTTTTGAAGAGTGAATAGGAGTTCTCTGGGTCGGTAAAGTAGAGGATGAAATTCCAGGTAGAAGAAATGGCACGTGCAGACCTGGAAGCAAGAGCAGATGTGAGCAGCCCAAGAACCACGTTAGGAATAAGAAGAGCTAAAATGTATTGAACTTCAGAATATTCTAAGCATAGTACCAGACATGTTCATCACATTTATCCTCACAACAGCCCTCAGGGTAGGAGGAAGGAACTTGAGACTCTGAGAGGTTAGGTAACTTTCCCAGAGTCACACAGGATTTCTCTGCTAGCAACCTGATTTCAAGGTAGAGGGGCAAAAGCTGGGAGCTGAGGCTGAGAGGTCAGCAGGAGCTGGATGAGAAGATCTGGATGCCAGCTTCTCAGGGCTTTGGGACCCAGAGCTGAATCCCAAGGCCTCGTTCTCCCAAGGTGCAGGGCCCAGGCTGGCTGAAGCTTACGGCAGGAAGGGCCCAGCCACGTGGCACTGGCAGTCGAGCATCTCCCTCAACGCCCTCTACAGCTGCAGGGGCCGTCTCCCCAGAGTGCGCGCTCACAGGCGCCAGGTGCTTTGGCGGGTGAGGGGCTGGGCTCGGTGACAGAGAAGGGGTGAAGCACTCTGCTGGGCCCAAGAGTTTGGGCCTGATGTCGGGCAGGGACCTGGGATGACCGTGAGCAGGGGGAGGCAGGCCGCTGGAAAGGAGCTGGGAACGCTGAGCAGGAACCCCAGAGTCCCTGCCCACACCCCAACAAGGTGGCTGTGGCCTGCTGTGTGCCCGCACCACCAACAGGGGAGGTGGAGGGAGTGGGTGCAGTGTGCCTGGTCAGCCTCCGCTTCCATCCCTGTGCCAATGGCTGGCGCCGGGCACTGGCACTGGGTGCTGCTGCCTCACCCGGCACTCCCCTGCCTCCTGTGTCTGGGACCCAGTGGTGTAAAGCTGTGCGAGAGTCGGGGAAGGTGGGACTGGACTGAGTGGCGGGATGAGGAGTGTCAAGGAGGGCAGGAAGAAGCCTAGGGTGGCAGCTGGGGGCAGGGTCCTTGGCAAGCAGGCAGGGAAGTACGGCACTGTTAAGGACTAGGCAGGCTGGGCTGGTGCAAACCCAACAAATGTCAGCACAGCCTGAGGGCCTGTCCCTACCTTGCACGTCAAGAGCCGCTGAGACCGCTGCACATCAGTGTCTGCCAAGGAGGCTTTGCACTGCAGCCTGACTATCCTGAGCTGCGAGGCGTCTGCCTGAGCGCTTGCAGTGTCCCAGGCCCCTGGCCTGCCCACCTGAGCTGATGTGAAGGCACTAGCAGGCCCTGCGCAAACGCGAGATCCCCTCCCCTCAAGTTACTTCTTATACCACTAAACCAGGAGAGCTGGGCCTGGCCAGCCTCGCCCTGCTCCAGGGCCTCCCACTCGCCAGCATCCAGAGACCAGACTTATCTGTGCCTCTGAGGGCCACCCTGTGCTTCCCACCCCTTGCTCAGATCCCTCATCATGTCCTGTTTGGGTTTTTTGGGGTTTTTGTTTTTGGGGGTTTTTTTGGTACCAGGAATCGAACTCATGACCTCAGGCTTGCCAGGCAAATGCTTACGCCACTGAGCTACATCCCTGGCCCTCATCATGTCCTGTTTGAAAGTGGAACAACATGACCTTTGATATGGTCAGTTTTTTTTTTTTGTTTTGTTTTGTTTGTCTTTTTTGAGACAGGGTCTCACTATGCAGTTCAGGCTGGCCTTGAGCTCACTTTGTATCTGAGACTGGCCTGAACTTGCAACGATCCTCCTGCCTCAGCCTCCCAAGTGCTGGGATTACAGGTGTGTGCCATCATGCCCAGCCTGTGTGGCCAGGTTCTAACTGCTGGTTATTTGATAATACAAACATTTTTGCTGAAAATTAATCTTTGTGCAATACTGAGCTCAAAAAAAAAGGAAGGAACTGGGCAAGACTAGTACAGCCTGTGGGAAAAGGCATGTGAGCTGGAAGGAGAGTCGGGGGAGCATGAGGAAGGCCTGGGGAGGCAGACAGGCTGGCCCCGTGCAATGTGTTTGACACTCAGGGTCCCCAACCTATCAGACCCCCCAGCCTCTCCTGTCTGATGCATGACTCCTGGCTGCCTGCAGCCCACTTCCCGACCAGGAGCCATTACTCACCTAGGTTGGGGAGTTACATGGGGTTCAGGCTGGGCTGTAACTGTGAGGTCTCTGTCCTGCACTGGGGTTGTTGGGACCCGCCTTCTCTGTTCCCAAGCTGGCAGCTGCTTGCAGCAGGGTGCAATGACCTGGAGTCCCCGTTGGAGGCTCAGCCTCCCTGAGCTGTGCACATCTGCGCATCCCTTTGTTTCCTGGACTAGAGATAGGGTCTCAGTGACTCCTGTGACTCCTCCAGCAAGAGGCACCTTGGGCCTAGGCCAGGGCAAGGCAGAGGAGGTAGTGAGGGTCTTCAGTGTGAAGTCTGGGTGCGAATCCTGTACTGAACTGCTTCTGTGATTGTGTCCAACACACCGTCCCGGTCTGAATCTCAGTTTCCTCCCCTTAAAAATGCAGTTGTGTTCAACTGGGCATGTGGGCACAAGCCTGCAATCCCAGCACTCCAGAGACTGAGGCAGGAGGGTCACAAGTTCGAGCTCAGCCTGGGCAACTTAGCAAGATCCTATCTCAAAATAAAAAGATAAAAAGAGCTGGGGATATGCAATGGCACTGGGTTTCTTTTTATATGAAGATGTGTTCAAGTGTGTGTTCACTTAAAATGTAGTTACCGAGGGCTTGCTACGTGCCAGGAAACGAAGATGCAAGGCAGACGCAGCTCATGGACTCTCGGAGCTGGCAGTCTAGCGGGAGAGGCGAGCATCGGCCCGAACTATGACAATAATGAATGTGTAAACACAAACGTTCTTGAGCGCTAAGAGCGGCTCCACACGCGTGCAGTGGTGGCCAGGGAGGATCTGTCATTTGAACAGAGTCCTGACAGAGCCGTGAGTCTGCTCAGCAATTCTCCGGAGCACTGGGTGCCTTAGAGACCAGGTGCGGCTCCTCTGTGGGCCTCAGTCTCCCCAGCTCCACATCCAGGACCAGTGACTGGCGTGTACTGATTCTCCAGACCAGGAGGCAAGTTTGTTTAGTAACTACTTTCGGAGGCAAGGGCTTCAAAAGCCCCCCTGACGCAGACCCTTCACCTGAGGCCAGGAGCTGCTTAGCCCAAGCTGAACCCCTTCTCAGCGCCAGGCGTTTAATCCGACGCGGCGGCCGCGTGCTGTCGGCAGGGTCACAGCGCCACCCTGCGGCGCAGGGGTGTTCCAACACGGGGCTTCGCGGGGGCTTGCGCCTAAAGGGCTTCTCCCCACGGCTCAGCTTTTGCGGCTAGCGCTCCAGAGTGGTGCTGAGTCTCAGCGCGCGCACGTTCCCAGCTGCAGGAATTGGATTCGGCGAGGTTCTGCAAGGTGGGAGGACGGTCCTTGTGTCCCCAAGGGAAGTGTGGGGTCGCTAGCATAGCCCCGCCCCAGAGTCTGGCCCGTCCCCCACAAACTCGACAGGAGCCTCTGACTACGCCTGCGCGCTGCCACACAGGCGCACGCCTTCGCCAAAATAAAAAATATGTCCCTCGCACCACTCCGTCTGTTTCCAAGGCAACCCCTTGTCTCTTAGCAACCACGTGTGCGGCCCGGGGTGGGCCTCCCGAGCCTCTCCCTTACCATGGCCGCGGCGAATCCCAGCATTTTCCTGCTCATGGTAAACGGCCAGGTGGAGAGCGCCCAGGTGAGCAGCCGCGGACCCCGCCGGGCCCATCTTCCAGTCTCCCCCGGGCTCCCTTCCAGCAACTCCGAGGGCAGCTTCACGGCTCGGGCCGTGTCATTCCTCCGAGCTGGGTCAGGCTGGGAAAAAAACGGCCTAGGGGGCGCGGCGCCAGGTTGCTGGGGAACCTGCGCGTCAGGGTGCAATTGTGGACACACGTCTCGAGGGCCGCGCTGGTGCCGGGGCCACGCTTGGCCTGGCCTGTGGCCCCGGGCTCGGATCGTGCCCACTTGGTTGGCTGCACTGGCTGGAGCCGCCAGCGCCGCGCGGAGAGCGGAGTCTCGGGGGCGCACAGGGCCTCGCCAGTGCACGCCTCTCGGAGGCGTCTGCGCTGTGCAGTGAGTGCCCGCTCCCAATCCCGCACCCCTGAACTCGATTGGAGTCGGGATGTTCTGGTTAGTCTGATCCAGCGACGGTGGCGGCGCTGACTGCCCAGGGAAAGTGTACTTGTTAGCCGACGGGACGCTCCTCAGTCAGCCTGCGAAAACCGCTTATGATAAGGAAAGCCCAGTCTCCAGCAGGTGCTCCCTGTGTGCGTTCCGCACTGCTCCTCCAAGCCTCTCGGCGACCTTTCCAGGCAGGCGGTGCGAAGGCCCTGCCTATGGCTGGGAACCTGACTTGGAGGAAGTAGCAAAGCTGGAATTTGAGCCCAGTTCTGACAGGCGTCACTTTGCTTCACTGCCCTTGCAGGCTATCAGACACGATCCTCATGATTCTTATATTACTGTGAGAACTGATGCAGGTGGTTTAGGTACAGCTCTGCCAGGCCTGCTACTCAGTAGGAGTCTGCTGGCTTCCTGGTCCGTCAGGGAGGGATGCTGCTCCAAGCACACACCCCCATCCACCTCCACCTCGGTCTGGTACCCAAGACCATCCTCCTGTTCTCCTGTTCTGCGCTGTGAGGGTCTCCCATCCGTGTGCTCTTCCCTCTGCTCTGGCGCCCTCCCTGCCTCCCAGCCCTCAGCTCCACCACCCATATGTTGTGTTCAGGACAGCACTGCTCCCATAGATCTCATCTGTGCGCTCACCCTTGTGGCAGACAGTGGGGACGCAGAAAACTATGAAGCCTGTTTCCTCTTCTAATGGGGACGACAGAAGCAGACACAGGCATTTAGCACCTTGATGAGGAAGGCAGAGAGGCTGAAGGAGCCAAGAGGTGACCCTTACAGAAGCCTGGGAGTTAAGTCACTCTCCAAAATGTTTTAAAGGATAAGCAGGAGTTTGCGAGATGGTAAAATGGGAAAGGCATGTAAGACAGAAGGCAAAAACCAGCTGTGGTGGCGCACACCTGTAATCCCAGCAGGGGAATCGCCATACGTTTGAGGCCAGCCTGGGCTACATAGTGAGTTCAAGGCCAGCCTAAACTGCATAGGGAGACCCAGTCTCAAAAAAGAAAAAAAAAAGGCAGAACCTGAGCAGAGAGGCCCTGGGGCAGTAGCAGCTGGGTCTCTCTCTCCCACACTCCCAGATCTCAGGCCCCACCCTTGGCTGAACATGGCCAGGTGCCCAGGTTCCCCGTGTTCAGAATTCCTGTCAGCTGCTCCTGCCTCGTCAATGTGTGGGTCTCAACTTGAGTCTCGGGGAACAGAATACCTATGTGCTTTTTCTCTGCAGTTTCCAGAGTATGATGACCTCTACTGCAAGTACTGCTTTGTGTATGGCCAGGACTGGGCTCCCACGGCGGTAAGCTGGGCCCTTGGGCCTACTTTACTCCTGGCCTCTTGACTGTCAGAGTTTCTGAAGGTGATCCTCCCACACACCCACTTCCAGAACTGACTGAGAAGTAGATACTGAGGTCAGAGGGGCCCTAACCATGAGACTGTTCTTGGTAAAGCCGGTTTAGAGAACACAGCCACCACTGGGGTCCCTCATGTGTCCCCCCACCTGCGCACCCTCACATCGCTTTTCTGTGAACTAACATATGGCAGCCAACACAGATGTGTGGGCAGGCACCAGAGAGCCAGCCAGGAAGTGGCTGAGTTGTAGATGTGCTAGGCCAGTCTCCTTCCCAGAGGTATTAGGGAGCTCCAGAGGATCGGGTCAGTTCAGGGGCTCTCATTCCAAGGCCTCGCAGGGAGGTGAGGTGAGAGGCGAAGAGAGAGGTAGAGGTGAAGACCTCAGCTGGCACTATGCCTTCCTGTTTGCAGAGCACTTAACTGTTTCCTTGTAACAGTTTAGGAAGAGCCCAACTTACATGACCTCTCTGAGCCTCAGCTTCTTCATCTGTACAGCTGACCATAATACTTATTTTCCATCAGCCACTCATTGAATAACTATAATTGAGTCTTCTGGATGTTGAGGATAACCATGATAAAGTTTTGTCAGACAAAGACAGACAAAAGTCCTTGTCTTGCTCAGCCTGGTGGTGCACGCCTCTAATCCCAGCATTTAGGAAGTTGAGACAGAAGGATCGCTGTGAGTTTGAGGCCAACCTGGGCTACATAGTGAGTCCAGGCCAGCCTGAACTACATAGCAAGACCCTGACTCAAAAAAAAATCCTGTGGGTGTGGTGGCACACACCTGTAATCCAGCACTCAGGAGGCTGAAGCAAGAGAGTCGTTACAAGTTTGAGACCAGCCTGGGCTGTAAAGTGAGCTCAAGGCCAGCCTGAACTGCATAGCAAGACACTGTTTCAGAACGACCAAAAAAAAAAAAAAAAAAAAAAAAATTCTCATCTTCCTGGAGTACACATTCTTGGGGGAGATGGATAATAAGTAGTGCATAATCTGTCATGTTAGCTGATAGTAAGTACTAGAGGGAGAATAAAGTTAGCAAGCAGGAGGTATGAGGGATATAAGGGAACTGGACTCTGGATAAGGTGGCCTGGAAAGGCCCTACTGAGAAGGCTACTTCTAAGTACAGATCTGGAGTAAGGGAAGTGGAAATTACTTTCTGGAGTAAGGGAAGTGGAAATCTAGGGGGGAAACTTTCTGGGGAAAAGGAGCAGAGAGTGCAAAGGCCCTGAAGCACAAATGTGCCTGGCGTGTTTGAGGAGCAGCGGGGAGGCAGGATGCCATTGAACAGGGTGAGGGCAAGATGGCTGGAAACAGGGAGGCATGGGGCAGAGCTAAGGACCAGGACCTTTACCCAGGGGGAGAAGGGACCTCACCAGGAAGTTTCACATGAGAAAAAAGCGATGTGGCTTACATTTTTAAAAGATCCCTTTGAGGGAAGAGGGTGTGGCTCAGTGGCAGAATCCTTGCCTAGCATCTACAAAGCCACGGGAAGAAAATCCCCAACACTGCAAGAGGAGAAAAAAAAGGAAGGAGGAGGGAAGAAAAGAAAGAGAAAGGAAAGATGGAAGCAAGGAAGGAAGGGAGGGAAGTTTCCTCTGGCTTCTGTGCTAAGACTGGACTGGGAGCAAGGGCGAGAGTGAGGTGGCCAGCAGGCTACACAGGGCACAGCTGGCAGAGCAAGCGTTGTGGGTGGTGAGAGGTGAGACATGGCTGAATTCCAGGTATACTCTGAACATAGAGCCACCAGGTTTTCCTGCCAGGCAGACGTGAGGGAGGAGGGAGTCTGAGCATTCAGCAACAGAAGAGTCGCTGCCTCTCTGAGAGCAGACTGCATGAAGCAAGATCTGGGAGAACTGTCTAGAGCCCAGCCTGGTGCATGTGAGGACTGAAATGCCCCTGGACATCATGTGGAGCTATGATGGTGGCAGCAGTGATGCTGATCTGGGGTTCAGAGAGGAATAAAACTGGAACTCATCAATATACAGACCACACTGAGAGCCATGAGACCAATAAGGTCAATGGACACAGGTAGAGGAGTGGCCAAAGTCACTCAGATACTGTAACACTATAAAGGAACCAGTGAGGGTGACTGAGCAGGAGCTACCCAGGAGAGAGACAGCCCCAGAGACTGGGGTGCCCAAGAAATGAAGGGGAGGAAGTGCGTCGAGAAGCAGATAAGCCGGGCGCAGTGGCATGTGCTTATACTCCCACATGCTTAAGAGGCTGAACCCGGAGAATCATTCAAGACCAGCCTGGATCACATGGTGAGACCCATACACACACACACACACACACACACACACATACACACACACAGCAAAAAGAGAAGAAGCAGAAGCAGGTCAGCTTCCAGAAGCAACCAGAACTGTCAGATGTTCTGCTGGGTCAAACAAAATGAGGACAAAGAAATGACAGTTGGAAATAGCAATCTCAAGGTCCCTGGTGTCATTTATAAAAACCCTTTGGTGAGTAGTAGAGCTAGTAGCCTGGTCAGAGTGCACTCACCCGAGAACAGAGAGCGGAGCTGGCCAGTGTGACAAGTCTTAGGAAGGAATTTGCTGCTCTACACAGAGTAGAAAATGGGTTGATAGGTTGAGGAAGAAGCAGCTGCAAGAGGATTGCTTGTGATAGAGAAGTGATACACGTGTATGCATGGGTGATACAGGAGAGAAAGTGCAGACCGTACAGCTGCTGTCTCCTAGGCACAAGAGCTCTTGTGCCCAGGGGAGGGTCTGGCTCTGGTAAGATGGTGCATTCATCTTCCAAACCTGAGAGGCACCCTGCTACCCTGTAGCTCCCTTTGTTCTGCCATGCAGGTCTTGCTGGAAGGTGGTTAAGAAAGCAGCCCTCCCAGGGGCCCTCTTGCAGAAGGGGCGGGGCGTGGCCACCTGGAACTCAGACCAGTTGTCCCTGTTGTTGTCCCACAGGGCCTGGAGGAGGGGATCTCACAAATCACATCCAAGAGCCAAGATGTGCGGCGAGCCCTGGTGTGGAACTTCCCCATCGATGTCACTTTCAAGAGCACCAACCCTTACGGCTGTGAGTCTGCAGGCCTGGAGGGTGGGGTGCGGGAGGCCGGAGCTCTCCTGTGGCACCCCCAAGTCAGCCTGTTCCTCATCCCACACCACTGGCCACATTCAGATCACCACTGCCCATCATCTGGTACCCTCTTCTTTTTGAACTCACTGTACAGCTCAGGCTGGCCTCAAACTCTCAGAAGTCCTGCTTCAGCCTCCCAAGTGCTGGGACTACAGGTGTGCACCACCACCACCACCGCCACACCCAGCATCACATGGGATCTTTGGAGTTCTTGCCCATTTCTATTACTTTCTGATCTTCCCCACCCTCACCACATCTTCCACATAGTGGGCAGTGGCCCTTCAGAAAGTTCAGAGGTGGTCAGATCCCTGGGCCCAGCGTCTCCCAACTTCCCTTGATGTGTTGTGGTCCAGCCCTCCCCCAACATGTGCTCCTCCTGTGCTAGTCCCTCAGGCTCCCTCTTCTAAGCCTTTGTCTGAGCTTCTCCTCCATCTGGATACCCTTCCCATGTCCACACCTGAGCCCCTTCCCCAGGGCCGTCTTGCTTGCAGTATTTCCTTCCTGCATTGTCTGATGATTTTTAACCACCAGATTACTTCCTTTTCCCTATAAATGCTTCTGTGTGCAAAGCTTGGGGTTCAGCCCTATGGGCCTGTCCAAGCTGCCCAGTGTCTGCTGGATAGATTTCTCTCCATTTATTTTCCCCTGTTAAGGAATAGATTCAGCTGGGCATAGTGGTGCACACCAGTTATCTCAGCACTGAGGAGGCTGAGGCAGGAGAACTGCCACAAGTTTGAGGCCAACCTAAACTACATAGACCTTGTCTCAAAAAAAAAAAAAAAAAATCAAAACAGTGACATCCCTTTTCTTCAAATTAATAGTACAGCTAAGAGCTAAGTATGGGTTTGAATTTAGGCCCATATGATTTCACATTTCAGGCCTTTCCCAATTCCCCTTGCAATGCTTCACCACAAGAAGGGTACACTGACAGAGAGGCAGAGGTGTATGATGAGGCAAGCGGGGTGTAGTGTTCATGGTTGACTCTAGGTAGCAAGTAATTAAGGATTCATTGGAGAATTCCTTCAACTTTTCTAGGGAGTCTTTTCCTCTTTCTTTTCTTTTTTTTTTTTTTGGAAACAGGGTCTTGCAGTGTAGTTCAGGCTGGCCTTGAACTCACTATGTAACCCAGGCTGGCCCCAAACTCATGGCGATCCTCCTGCCCCAGCCTTCTGAATGCTGGGATCACAGGCCTAAGCCACTATTCCTGGCTTCTGGGGAAATATTTTCTTTGACCATTATGAAATTAAGGCTAGGAACCAATGACAAGAGGATGGAGAAAAAAAATCTCCCTATGTTTGAAAAATCAGAAAATCACCTCTAAAACTAGCCCATCTGGTGAAGAGGAATAATGAAATTAGGAAATGTTTTGAATTGAATAATGATGAAAATGTGCAGCTAAGGCAGCTGAGATGCAGAGATTACATAACTTGCCTAAGGCCGCAGGATAGGAGCCTGGCAAGCTGGTTCCCAGCTCTGCCTGGGGCCTCACCTGTCACCTCAGGCTGTGATCTCTGCCTGCACCCAGAGGACACAAACTGAAGAACCAAGGTGAAGGCACCCAGTATAGGACCTTGATATTCAGGTGAAGAACCTTAATGTGAACAGAAATGGGTACAACTGTTAATATTTCAAAGAGAAATACCTGGAAGGCCTTGCTTTCTCTCTAGAGAGAACTCCTGAATAGGCCCTTTCTCCCCGGTCCGATGAGCCATGCTTTGCACACTGAGTGTGGCCACCTCCATCAGAAAAGGTGCCAAAGAGCAGGTAGCAGGCCCTTGTCATCTCTGATCACAACAGGAGCCAATGCCTGGCGCAAGGCTCCAATGGTACTTCCTGTGCCCATCAAGTGACAGAGCTGGGACAGCACTTTGGCTCTCTCTGTGAGCCGCAGAGTACCTGTCTGGGCAGCAGCAGAGGCACAGGAAGTAGTAGGATGGAAAGCGGCCCCCTCAGCAATCAGAGGTCCCGTGCGCCTCCTGGAGCCCACCTGTCCCTGGACTCAGCTGGACACCCTGTCCTCTGCCTACGCCCTTCCTGGCTTCCCTAGGTACTCACCCCGGCCTTTTCCTTCCCAAGGGCCCCAGATTGTGCTCAGTGTGTATGGACCAGATGTGTTTGGGAACGACGTGGTCCGCGGCTATGGAGCAGTGCATGTGCCCTTCTCACCTGGCCGGTAGGTTGTCACCCTGACCCCCCATCCCTCTGTGGGCTATTCTGTCCTTGAGCCTGGGGTGCCCTCACCTGGCAGGGTATCTGGGCTCAGGTAGGGTATGCCTTGGAGTCCCCAGGGCCTGGGCAGCTCAGCTCGGAGCGTGGCAGATGTGGCCCAGGTGCCCATCATGGGACACCATGCATGGGGGCCATGTGCCAGCAGACCCCAGATGGGGAGGGTGGGGAGCGGCCCCAGAAAAGGGCTGCTGGGCCCTGCCCTTTGTGAGCTGCAGCCATACACCTGCTCTTTGTGGGATCCATGACCCCCTGACAGAGGCTCTTTTTAAAGCACAGCACTTTCCTGCTACTGAGCATGTTTTGTGTATAAGAATGTTTGTTTTAGGCACAAAAGGACCATCCCCATGTTTGTGCCAGAGTCTGCATCTAAACTGCAGAAGTTCACAAGGTGAGAGTTTTCTCTGAAGCCCCCACCACTCCTTCTGAGGTACTTGGTGAATGGCTGCCGCCGTCCAGCCCTTGAGATGTGCCTGAAAGCCTTCAGGTTGTTCTACCTCCTGGGGACAAACTGAACCAGCGTCTGGGGTTGGGGCAGCTCAGATTCACTGGGCTCTTTAGCCCTGAGGAGAACATGCATTTAGCCTGTTAGAAGCAATCAGGAGGTCACTGTGGCCAGTAAGTGCCAAACTAGGACGCTAGGTAGGGTGCGGTAGGGGTGGGGAGAGCAGGGGGCAGGCCTGGGCCAGGATATAGGGCCTATGGAAGGGCTCACGGGGGCAGATGCCTGGAGGAAATTCAGCAGGAAGCCCTCTTATGACTCCCAGAGAGGAACTTGGAGGGCCAGCGGGGCCCAGCTAACTGATCAGAGCCACCACTGCCCACTGCAAGCCTGGTCAGTATCAGGGAGTAAGACTTGGTTAGAGCCCTGCTGGGTAGTGGGACAGATAAGAGCCTAGGAAGCCACACTGAATTCTGAGGCCTGCAGAGAGGAAGGACAGCATACTCCACTGGCATCCACCCAACCGTTTGGGTGCCCACTGTCCCTAGAAGCCACTATGGGAGGCCACTAGGTGGGCGGGATTCTTAGCCAGATGCCCTGGGCCAGTGTCACCTAGAAGTGCCAGTGCCTTCCCCCGGAACGGTCTGGGAAGCAGTGGTGAGGTCATGTCTGTGGGCTCAGGGAAGGGGAGGGGCTCTCAGAGCCGCATGTCCATCTGGCAGTGTGTGCCCTGCTTAACGTCCCACAGCCCAGGGGAGGAGTTTGGGCCTTGCAGTGAGAGGTTCCTGAGAAGAGGGCTTGTGCTGAAAGATGGAGGATGTCCAGGCGGGCTTCTGGGCTGTGCCCGGGGGTGGCAGCTCAGTGCCTGGGAGTCTCCAGCCCTTTACACAGGCTCCTAGATGGGCAACGCTGTGTGTTCTTGTGTTATAGAACCAGGGAGTGGTCTGATCAGCGCAGGCAGCATAATTAGCCAGACCTTCCCAGACGTGGTGTCACACACCTGATGTCTAGAAGTCCGAAGCCTGTATCACTGTGCCAAAAGCAGGACGCTGGCAGCATCATGCTCCCTCAAGAGGCTCTGGGGAAGACCCCACTGCTGGCACCTTCAGCTTCCCACAGCTGCCCGCCTTCCTTGGCTTAGGAGTGCATCTCTCCTGTCTCCATGCCTCCTCTGTGTTACACCTCCCTCTGCATCCTTCCATGAGGACAGTGATTACAGTAGGATGGTCCTGGACAGGGTATCACTAGGGTTATCCCAGATAGTGAAGGACAATCTAGGATAACCTCCACATCACAACAGCCTTAACTCAGTGACACTCAGAGAGTCTCTTTCCAAATAAGGTTGCATTCAGTTTCCAGGGACAAGCACCTAATATCTCTAGGGGCTGTTAGCCTGCTGCAGCCCTCTGACCTAGTCTTCACACGGCAAGTAAGATGGTACGCCCCAAGGCCCGGCCCTCCCCTGCTGGAAATAGCCCAGGCACATCCCTCTGCATTCAGGGTTAACTTTAGCCACAATGCCACAGTGCCCTGCTGACTTCTTGGCCCCTCCCCTGGTTGCTTCCCATCTGCCTGCTCCACCTGCCTTGATTCTCAGCTCACTGGGCCCTGCCGGGAACGTCCTCCCCTGAACAGTCTGTCTTCTCAGCCTGATGAGCAGACCACCTTGCAGACCCAAGGCAGACAGTGGTGAGGATGGGGTCTGCCTTCACAGCAGGGCTACTGCCCAGGCCTCAGCCCTCTAGCCACCTGTGAGATGGGTGCTGTTAGAGCCTTGCTCCATGATGGGGAAACTGAGGCATAGAGAGCTGGTGCCTCTGCCCATCCATTGGGAGTCAGTGTGCAGCCCTCTCACCGCGGTCTCCAGTCCTACCCTGAGGTCCCGTGGGAGGCAGCACACAGAGCCTGGGGCCTGTGAAGCACCTTGGAGAGTGCTGGTGCCTCTCGTCAGGGTACAAGCAGTACGTTGTATTGCCATGGCTACTAGAGGGCCATGTCCAGTGTCTGATGCCAGGAATCCCCTGCTCATGGACGTTCTCCTGTGTCCCCAGCTGGTTCATGGGACGACGACCTGAGTACACAGACCCCAAGGTGGTGGCGCAGGGCGAAGGCCGGGAAGGTAAAGCATGATGCCCCACCCCAGCCCAGAGTCGGACTGGAGCCTGGAGAGGGACTTGGTCGGCCCTAGCACCCAGTCCCAGGAAGTAGACGGGGATGAAGGCCGAGAAAGCATGAGGCGCCTGGGGCCCAGTGCTGCAGGAGGTGGTCCAGTAAGCTTTTCACAGCACCTTTCAGATGAGTGCCTAGTGGGAGCAGAGGGTTTGCCGTGTCTGTCTGTCCCACTGTAGCCTCTTGACCTCCCAATGAGGGACATGGGCAGGCACCATCATCCCATTTCATAGGAGAGAGCCCTGAGGCTGAGACGCCCAAAGCACCTTGGGTCTGTCTCTGCCCCCAACCTGCGCCACTGATGCTGTGCTTCTGTCCCCAGTGACCCGAGTCTGCTCCCAGGGCTTTGTCACCCTCCTGCTCAGCGTGGTGACCAAGGACATGAGGAAGCTGGGTTACGACACTGGACCTGCAGATACGCGGGGCGTCCCGGGGCCCGGCCTGCCCCAGGGCGTCCCCCGGTGAAGACTCTGGGTGGACAAGCACCCCGTCGCAAGTCTGGCTGGGCGGCCAAGCGGCCCCTCAGTGCACAAGGGCCTATTTCTGGAGTCACAGCAGACCCATCAGCCCGAAGGACAGCCTGGCGCTACTGGGGGTGGAGTGTGGACAGTAAAATAGTTATAATAAAGTCACTTTTCAGACAGCCAGGCTGCGGCTGCTTTCTTGTCCTGTGCCACTCCCATCCCCACAGGGGAACAAGACCCTCCCTCACCTGCAGCCCCGCAGAGCGTGGTGCTGGGAGGCTACTTGGGTGGCAAGCCAGGACGGGGCCTTTCACAGCGCCGGTTCTGCTGCTCGCGGCTGTGTGGCCTTGTCAGCGCCTCAGCACACTCGACGAGCAGAGTTAAGTAGTCTTTTGCTCAGCACCTGGCACGGTTTGAACCAACTGTGCTCCAACATACCAGCCTCCCTTGGTATGGAGACAATCCTCTCAGCAGGAGCTGGATGGTGGGGGCCCTGTGTGCAGGGACTCCTGGCCTGCTTCCCTCGCAGCCTGAGGGTGGACTGGCAGCCTTCCAGGGTGGGAAGCTGCTGGTTAGAATGCAGCTTTCGATCAAGTCCCAGAGCCCAGCACCCTGGCACCTGTGAGGGTCGTGGGCCACTTGTACACAGGTCCCTGTGACACTAAAACAGGAAGGCCTGGGGTACAGCCTCCTCACCTCCCTGCACACAGCGTCCCCTTCTACCGCCTCAAGTGAGCGCTGTAGACCTGCAGCCTGTCACAGAGCTTCCCTCAGTACAGCTGTGCCTGGCTGAGACGCAACCCTCAGCAGGATGCCAGGCTACAACCCACCCCGCAAGTCTGGCCTATTACCGGAACTTGCCCTAAGCAACCATCTACACAGACCCTACTGTCCTTTATCTCGCAGGGCACCCCCATCCCTTGCCCCTGTCACTGCATTGTGGAACTCCTGGTCTGACCTCAGCAAAATTCCCATGGTTCTGACCATCTCTGAAACCATCCTGTCCCCTACACCACTCATGAGCAGCACTTTTCCTCCCACACCCATGCACCATGCGCCCAGAAATGGGGTGCGGCCTTGCCCCTCAGCATTTCCACACCACCTCCTTCTTCAACCAGCTTCCAGCAGCCCCAGCCATCAGATCATGCTGGGCACCACCTGTCATTGACAACATGCCTACACTGCTTTTTGTCCAGCTACTCTTGGTGACATTGTGGCCCACATGTGATTCCTCCAACCTGGCCTCTGCCCCTGACTTGCACTGATCCCAACCTCTACCTCGCAGCCACCCATTTCCAGGGTCAGAGCTGCTTGTTACCAGCTGGAAATGCGTGGCTGTGAGGTAGAGATCAGGATTTGTTTCCGTACTGGGGATGGAACCCATGCTAGGCAAGGATTCCACTAAACTGTGTCCTCAGCCACATGCTGAGTTTTGACAAATGCACAAACCAGCTTGGATTGAGGCTCCTAATGCCACTCCAGGACGACTCTGCGGTGGGTTATGTGGCTGCTGAGCTGACAGCTTTAGAGGAGGGAGAGAGACAGAATTTGCAGTGGGGGTTGGCTACTGTTGTACTGTCACAGTAAAGAGATGAACTCAGGAAAGAACTTGCCAGTTAGCAAGCAGAAATGGAAGGGAACAAAATGAATCTTTAAAATGTTGATATCAAATGACTGAAAAAGGAAAGCCAAGAGGAGCAGCATACATCTGTAATCTCAGCTACTAAGGAGGCTCAGGCAGGAGGATTGCAAGTTTAAGACCAGTCTGGGAAACTTAGCAAGACCGTATCTCAAAATAAAATTTATGCAGTTCGGTGACTGGATGCTTACCTAGCATGCACAAGGTGAAAAAACACTGCCAAAAATTGTTGAAAAGGGACTTTCTAGAATTGATGCAGAGATCACATTGAAAATTGCTTTGGATAATAAAGACCTAGTAAGATTTCCTCCTAATTTAAACCCAAGATCCCAGTTTTTTGGTAAGTACTGGATGATGGGCCGGCCCTCCCACGGTGGTCCAGAGGTCCTCGTGGTAACCCTGTTAACTTGAAGAGGAGTGGGGGTGGGCAGCAAGGGTAAGAGAGCGCACATCTAAGGGTGATGGACTTCGTTTGTGCATCGTCTATTTCTGTTAACAGATTACCCCAAAACAAGCTCCGCGATTATGGCTCACGGTTCTCTAGGCAATGAGCGCAGCTGGCTTGTGCTGCACCACCTCTCACCCCCGCAGTGGCTGCTGCCGAAGCACGCCAGTGCTCTGCCGTGTGGCCTCTCCATGGCTGCACTTCATGCAGCCCGCCGGCTTGGCTTGCCAGCGAACAGGTCATGAGGACCAGGCTGTGCGCAGCCCACGTGCAGGTACCAACCAAGTCCCTGCCTGCTGGCGCCCGCCAGCATGGCAGTGTGGGGAGGACTGCACTAGGAGGCAGGCCCCTAGTGTGGCAGGGGGGAGGGGCGGCGGGCGGCAAAGCAACTCTACCAGAGCTAACGCCAGGTGTTCGTACTTGGAGCTAAAGGGAAGCAAAGAACCCAAGAACCTGGCCAGGTCTGGAGGGCACGTGTTTCCCTGGGTGCGTGGGCCCGCACCAGTGCCTTTGACTTCAGCAGTTCTTGGCCAGGAGCCACATGCACAGGCAGCAGGCAGAAGCTGCGTGCGCACTGCCTCCAGATCCCATGGGGATACAGATCGATGGGCCTCCCCAGAGGGCAGCGCCTGAGGCCTTGGAGGAATCTGCCAACACCCTCCCCACCAGAAGAACCACAGCCCCTCGGCCTTTTCCCACCTTCCCCACAGGGCACCTCACAGGGGTCTGGCACTGCCAAGGACCAAATGGCTGCCCGCGCCTCCCACTTCACTCTCCCATGCATGGAGTCTCACCTGTCAAAATCACCCCTGCCACACTGTCTCCTTACTGTCAGCGTGGTGACCATCTCTGGCTGGACCTGTCTCCTTGGAGAAGCCCCTCCACACCACCATACCCCATGGAGACCCCGGGCTTTGAGCTGGAAGCCGAGACTGATGGAACCTTCTGACCCAGGTGTGGAGTGAATGACTTGGTGACCCATGGGCCAGGTATGACAGCACCTGGCAATGTGTAAAGCGGGCCCGTTTCCTATTCCCCTGTGTAGAAACGAAGCTGGACCCAGCTAACAAGGTAGCAGCTGGCAGCTCCTCCCAGAGCTCTGCCATGGCATGGACATGAGGTACAGAACATGGGAGACCCGTGAGGCCTGGCCTTGGATGGCACACTCAATGCCACCTCCTTCATAACAGGCTCCCACACGAAGAGCTTCCAAAGGGGTAGAAGCCAGAAGGGGAAAGGGCCTCGGACATCCCCAGAACACTCTTCAGACCACCTGTGGCAGCGGCCCTCTAAGGGCAAGTCTCCCACCCTCTGTCCCTAAGGTTCAGGGCCACCAGGATCAGGTGGCAGCCTCACTAAAAAGCCAAGCTGCTCCTGGGCAGAAACTGGCCCCCTAGCCTGCCCAGTACTCTCCGGAGGCTCAAGATGGGTAAAGATGGAATGGGGGAAGGACACAGCCAGAAACAGCATCATGATACAAATGATAAATTATATTTATAAAGTAAATAAGTATCAACAGTCAACACAAGTTCAAAACCAGCCCCCGACCCGGGACTGAGGCATGGCTGGGTGACATCCTCCTCTAGGGTGCTCACCAGGAGGGCACGGTGGCACGTGCGGCAGCAGCCGGTGGCTTCATGATCAGTGCAGCAGGCAACAGGACAATGTGCGCTCAAGTCAGCCTGTGCCAGGACGCGGGGCAAGGGGCTGTCTTCTTGGGCCTGGCAGCCCAGTGGTTGCCGTGCTGGGGCCTCAGTCATGTCAGGAAGGACTTTTGCCTATTACAGAAGAATCACTGACCCCAGGAGCTGGGTCTGGTGCACTGACCTGTAGGCTGCCAGGCTCCACACCTGGAGGGAAAGCACTGTCGTGGGCAGGTACCCTCCTCCAGAGCTACACCTTTCTGAATGACACTGGAGCCTAAGGCCAGGCACAGGCCTGCAGTTCTGGGAAGGGTGGCTGGTTGGGAACTCAGGCCTGCCAGCAAGGGAAGTGGGGGCATCTCATACAGCACTCAGAGCAATCCTCACTCAGAGCCGTCATGGCCTCCTGCAGTCCAGGGACCACTGCAATCCCTCGTGGGCGGGTGCTAAGGGGCAAATCTCTGGGACCAGAGAGGGGCAGCCAGGTGGTCAGCCACCCTTAGAGCTGGAGGGTAGAAGTCTGCACTGCAAAGCGAGCCAGAAATACCCACTAGGCTGCCAGGACATACAGCAGGACTTGGGAACTGTCCCTTCCCTGGGGAAAAACAAGTCTTCTCTGGTTTATAATTTGGGACTTAATACTTTTTTTCCACAGTGGTGAGTAGGCTGAGGACAGCAGGAGGTTGGAAAAGGGAGATAATATTAGTGCATATTTGTTAAAAATCTATCCTAGGTGACAATGAATTTTCTCATCTCCAAAATAAGAGATGACTACTTCTCAGCCTGCAACCTGTGTCTGGAGCTGGCAGGTAGATGGTTCAAAGCAAGCCCTGGTCCCTCACCCCCACTTCAGTCTGGGGCGGTCTCCAGGGACCTGTGGGCACAGCACCACTCCTACCCAGGACAGCCACTGTTTCTACTGGTCCCCCTGTTAACCTGAGTGAGGACTGAGTCAGAGGACAGCACAGGTGCAAGGCTGAGGCGCTCCCTCCACCTCCCACACACTGTAAACAGAAGTCCCTATTAATCCCTGTGTGCCTGTAATCAGGAAAGGAATTAGCTGATAAAAACTGATGAGTCACATTCATAGGTTAGATTTGTTTCTTTTGTCTTTCAGGATGTCGGTACACTAGTAAGAAATAAAGCCTCTCTCAGGGTCTAGGCAAAAGGGCTGAGAGCAGACTGGTCTGGTAGCTCACCACAAAGGGAGACAGAAAGGAAAAGGCAACTGGAGGCTGCAAGTTTCTGTTACTAGGGGAGGGTGGTTTTTTTCCTTAAATAAACACCTTTTTTTGTGTAATCAAATTCTCATATTTTTCCTATAAAGAATTTGCTGTAGGTTTTCCATAAGGCATGTTTTTGTCATCCAAACATCTCTTCCTTTTTAAGTTTTCTTACAGAGTTAAAACCATAAATAAGAGGATTTAAACCACTAAAATGACATGTGCCAAGATCTTAATTCAGCCAGACCTGGTAAATTCTATCAAAACTAGACAGTTAAATAAGAACCACGTTATAAAAATATTAGCCAAAAAAAGACTATCAGATAATTCTGCAAACTCAAATATGAAACTGTACTAAACAAAATATGTGCAAACGTGTATAAGCATAGAGCCACGTGGCAGGGTTATGCTCAGATTAGTTTTAAAGCTTGCTCTAGTGGATTTAATCAAAAGTTGTCCATGGTGGTAGTGTTTACTTTGAGCTCACACGTGAGTCAAAGGAAAAAAAAAATATGCACAACCACTTCTCCAAGGTCAGTGTCGAATGGGGCTGGCGCTTCTTTCCGTCCATACCCAGGACTGGGGCCAGGCCATGGGGGGCAGAGCCAAGGTGACTGTCCCAAGTTCTGGACTGAGCAGCGTTTAGGGACCCTTGGCTGAGGCTGGGGATGAGGACAACACTGACAACTTCATTCCACATCCAAGGCCTCAGAGGAGCCTGGTCACTTCAGCGAAAGGCAAGTGGCCCAGCCATTCAAGTCTGAGGGCCAGGGCTATAAAGGACAATCCTTTTACCAGAAAGCTAGAACCAAAGGCCACAATACCCCCATGTCATGCTCTCAGCCACCACCCCACACAGAGTCTTTGCTCAGTGTCCCCTGGCACGGGTGCTCTGGGCGTTTGTTCTGGGGCTCAGACCCAGAGCACTAGAGAAGGAAAGGGTTGGTTGTGCCGGTGGCCTGTGCTGTCGACGGAGGCATGCCCACACTGCCCACCATGTTCATTGCTGTGGGGCCCAGTGGTGTCAAAGTGGAGCCACTGGCCCCCAAAACTGGGTGGGGGGCTGCTGAGGTCATGGGGGCCACAGCCATGGGCTCTGCCCCAGTGCTAGGCCCAAAGGATGTGCTGCTCCCCAGGACTGGGCTCCCCCTCAGCTGGTTCAGCGTCAGTGGCTGGGGCTGGTTCACCTGGAAGGGGTTAGCAGGGGCCGAGGTGGTGGTGGTACCTGGGGAGAGAGCAGAAGGGCAGTGGTTGGGTTGTTAGGGAAGCACTGGCCCGTCTAGTAGCAGCACAGCCACCCTCACGAGACACAGCTCTCCATCTGTAGAGAGCTAGACTCTTATTTTTGTCTTGTTTTGTTTTTGAGACAGGGTCTCACCATGTAATCTAGGCTGGCCTCAAACTCATAGCAATCCTCTTGCCTCAGCCTCCAAATATTGGGAATATAGGTGAGTACCACCACATCCAGCTCCATCTGGATTCTGAGCTCCAGAGCAGGACTACGTGTGTTCTGGTCCCTGCCGCACCCTGAGGGCCCACAACAGTGGTGGCCACATCCATAAAAAACACTACCAGCATGTGCTGACCACATGAATTGCCCTGTTAAGGGCCAGGAACTACAGCTATGAGAAGCCTGTGACTTGTCCAGGTCACAGAGCTAAAAAAAGGGCTAAGAGCATGCTGGACTTAGGACCCCCAGGTCCTTCGCAGGACTAGCGCCCAGAATGCTGTCAGCCGCAAACAGCTACTATGGCCAGAGGCCTGAGAAAGGAGGGCTGGAGGTGCAGCAAGCACAGCCCGGGGCTTGCATGGCAGCACCCATGTGGCACCCTGGGACCGACGCAGCAGCACAGTGAAGGCTCAGGCAGGCTACTGGGGAGCCCTGTCTCCCTCTGCCTCCCACGTCCCTCAAGCAGCAAGCACCCGTAGCAGAACATCTGAGGACTGTTTGCGAAGAGATATGGTGCTGCCAGCTCTGAGTTTCCAGCCCATCCCAGCTCCGTTCCCAAAGCAGCATGCTGGTCAAGGGTGGCACGCTCACCATCATGGAGACAAGGCTGCTTGCTGCTCTTTGATACTAAAGGGAGGAGGGCTCACTTTCTAAGCCTGCCATGGAGACTCTGAGAATCAGCCCTGGTTCAGACTTCAGAGGCGTAGCTTCCCAGCAAGGAAGAGAAAGCTGAACTGCATCTCTGGTCCATGCAACCCACAAATGACAGCCAGGACCACCTGTGTGGCCTGGAGAATGCCCCCGAAGGTCCAGCAGGGATATCTAATCCTCCTCCATCCTGGCTATGACCTCTAGGGTCCACAGTGGACTCGCTGTCCCACAGCCCCAAGATGTCCTCAGGGCTGAGGACAGAGCAGTGCACAGGAGTTCCTCTGGGCCTTGACTACTCACTAAGAGTTGAGGTGACAGGAGCTACTGCGTGGGAACAGGCTCCAGGCTAATTGAGGTCCTCAGGCCCTAATTCAGCTCTACCTATGGAGCTGCTCTCCCCTGGGCCGCCATATCCTTCTTAACCTAGGCCTCACTGGAGGGACGCAGCAACTCCACACATTCGCTTCCACCTAAGGCCACAGCGAAGGCCCTCTGGAGCCAATGGCCACTGCTCTGAAAAGCCTAAGGATTCTCTGACCCTCTGCAGCCTGCCTGCAAGACCATGGGGGAATTTGTAGAAGGGGGAAGAAGTCATCTAGGCTGGGTGGATGGGGAAAGAGGAGGGCGGTAATCGAGATAGGATAGAGCGTCATGCCCCACACATAAACAGGGGGGTCTCTCATGTTGTCTCTGAAACACATCACAGAGCTCAGGGCAGCTGACGACATGATGTACATGGGGAAGGAAGATGAAGGGGCCAGACTAGGGATGCCTGAGCCAGAAACAGTAACCCTGAATACTGACTCAAGTAGTTAAGGGCCTGGCCCACAGCCAACATGGAGTCCCTGAAGGGCACAGAGCAGAATTTTGCAGTGGGGGACGGAGAGGGTCCGTAGGTCCTCAGAGAATGACTTATGCTAAGAGGCCATATTAATTTCTGCCTACACAGGGAAGACACTGGGCAGCACACCCTGGCCTTTCCTCACCTCAGCACTCTGCCCACCTCCACCTGGCTCAGAACCAGCACTCACCCCAGAGTCTCCCTGCCAGGGCTACCCAGTTAGGCAGCTTCTGCTTGGTAGTCTCAACCGAGAAGAGGAGCAGCTTTCTCCTCACATCCTCTCCCTTTCAAACAGCAGCTTCTGTGACCCAACCCATGTGGCCCTGGAGAGACGGCAGTGTAATCCTGAGCGCCTAATGGTTCTGCTCCTTTTCGGCCACAAGTGGAAAGCCCCTGGAGCTTTGGCCGCAGGCAGAGCACAGTAGGAAAAGCCCCCTTCAAAGTGGGAAGGAGTCAGTTCCAAGGCCATGACATACGCAGTCTGAAGGCAAGCAGAGCAAGCAGCCAGATGAAGCGTGAACGTATTCCTACCTGGGGCTAGGAAGGGGTTAAGGGACTGGGCTGGTGGAGTCGGCCTGGTCACCAGTGAGTCCAAGTTCACCAAAGCGGCGTTGGGGCCTAGGAAGGACTCGGGTGTTTTCCGGGCACTGCTGGGCTTTCTCGTGGCAACAGTCAGAGGGCGAGACTCAAAGGGGTCAGGGCTTGCAGTTCCATTGCTCTGGGATGGCAGAGAGGCCGCAGACTCGGCTGCAAGACAAGTGCACACATGGCATGGTGGGCATGAGTTCAGGCCGGAGACCATGCACCAAAAGCTGCCAACCCCACAAGCATAAAGCTACTCCTGATGTTCCTGATGCTAAGGCTCCCAGCACACACACTCTGTGTACAAGACATGATGTCACTCCAGCGTTCTTTCCAACAGTCCCAAGCACAGACACACGCCAGCCACAGGCCCACTAAGCCACACACCACAACGCAGGGACATCTGAACAGTTAATGATGAGAAAAAAAAACTATACCAAAACAGTAAGTAGAAAAAACAGAATTAAAAATAACACATACAGCAAAACCGTTCAATGTTATTTTGGGTTGTTGGTGAGGCATGGATGATTTACATTTTTGGTATCATTTTATATTTTCATTTTCTACAATGAACACAAATTTCTTGAGAGTAAGGAGAATGAAAATTGTGTTCTATAATTTAGTCAATAAAGGGTGTGCTGAGACAGGCTGGTGGGGATGTTTGTCTTGATGGGATGCACTGCGGCTACCAGCTCACTTCTATAATCACACTCAGTACAGTCTCAGGAAATAATGCAAAATGTGAACCAGATTTAAGCACAAAAATGTTCACCACAGCATTATTTATTTCAGCAAAACAGGAAATGAACCTACAATGTCTTCTCCCAAACTAATGATTAAATACAGTGCTGCCTCCGTTCATGGACTTAATTCTTTCCATGATTCTGGTTGCAAACCGAGTTAGAACAGAACTGAACCAAATTCAATGGGTAGGTTCAATATTGACCTTACTGGAAAATCTGATTCAGTTCTCATCCAATTGGGTTTGCAATCAGAATTGTGGAAAGAACTGAGTTCGTAAATTACTTCTGTAAATCACTGGTGAGCAATCTATACGTGCTCGCGGAGCAAGGCTATTACTGAGCAATCTAATAAACTTTAAGTAATAGAAAATGTTTTCTATCTGTTATTCCATAAAAATCAGGATGGGGCAAGACTTGACTCAGAGGGTGTGGTGGCACACACTTGTAATCCCAGCACTCTGGAGGCTGAGGCAGGAGGATGGTTGCAAGTTCAAGACGAGCCTGGGCTACAAAGTGAGCGCAAAGCGAGCCTGAACTGCATAGGAGACCCTGTCTCAAAAAGACAAAAAACAAACAAACAAAAAGACTTGACTTTATCTGATACTACCGGCATTAAATAAAAAAGATTGCTAAGCGTGTAATCCCAGCATTTGGGAGGGTAAGGAAGGAGGATAAAAAAATTTAAAAATTCAAAAACCAAAACAAACAAAAAACCCCCAAAACTAAAAACAAAACAAAACAAAACAAAACAACAAAAAAAACTGCTAAGAGTTCAGGGAGAAAAAGCTGGGTATGGTAGCACAGGCCTGTAATCCCAGCATTCGGGTGGTTAAGGCAGGAAGACTATCATTCAGGCTGGCCTAGACTACATACACTGTTTCAAACAAAAACCAAAACAAAAAGAGTTTAGGAAAAGATTCTGGCATAGTGGCACACGTCTATAATCCTATCCCCCTTGGGAGGCTGAGGCAGGCAGATTGTTGCGAGTTCAAAGCCAGCCTGGCCTACAAAGTGAGTTCATGGCCAGCACAGACTACATAGTGAAATCCTGTCTCAAAAAGACAAAAAAAAAAAAAAAAAAAAAAGATACTGGAAAGAAATATAGTGGCTAAGTGTAGATAGAAGGATTATAGATAATTGTCATTTGTTTCCATAAACACTTCCAATTTTCTACAGTGGTACCCTACACTTGGTGATAAATACTTAAAAGTCAACAATGAGCCAGGGCCAGGCAGGCTTCGCACTGAGGCAGGAAGAAGCTGGGAGAAACAACAGATCCGGCCACACTCTGAGCTGGAGACAGTGGAATCTTGTTTTTAATGTCCTAAGAGCAGCCCTTCACATCAGCAGGTTCTCAAAGATGCCTCTGGTCTCCCTACTGGGAGCCCCTGAAGGAAGAGGGCGTGGGGGCCAGACAGCGGCCGGGCAATCACCTCAGACCAGACCCCACAGGCCTGTCGGCCGCTGTTGGGGGCTGGTGGGGAACAGATCGGACAGGGCGGGGGAGGAGGCGGAGGAGGGGTGGGAAAAAGCAAAGAGGGAAGCTGTGCACGGTGAGGAGGTGCGGAAGGAAGGAACCTGATTCTGACCAATGCTGGGCACTCGGCAGCAGCTATGACCTGGGCTAAGGGACAGGGCTGGCAGAGACTCGCCCCACCCATGCCCAAAGGGAGGTATCTGGGAAAAGGAGGCGTCTCTGGGGAGCGGGGATTGACGAGAAGAAAGTAGCTGGACAGGGTAGCTGAGACATGGGGATGGATCCCACACCACACTGGAAGGGCAGGGCAGGGGAAGGCATCTGCGTGCAGCAGAGCTGTTTGGGCTGACCTGGAGACAACAGCCCAAGGGAGAGGGTACCAGACACAAAACATGGGGCTTGATGTGAGGAAAAGCTAAAAGTAAAAACCTCATGACTTTTACTGTCAATGTGTGAATTCCCAGAATTCAAAGTTTCAGGCTCCTAAGATCAAAATGCAAAGAAAATGCATCAAGTTGGCAGATGTGAAAGCTACTGTCTCTGCAATAACTGAGCAGGTCAAATGTACAGAATATTATGGAAACCACCTTTACCTACCTGTTTTTTTTGAAGTTCGGAGGTTGTCAAATTCAGAAAAGTCATCTTTAACTGTACCATTGAAATTATTGAAGAGCTCAAAGGACCCTGGGGAGACACAGAGGCCAGTGACTGAAGGCATTTCATCTGGCTCCCCAGGGCTGCAGTTGCACAGTCTATACTGGGGAGGGGAGGCCTCTCTCACTTACTCCTGCTCCCAGGGCAGAACTCACTGGAGGGCTGGGAAGACAGCAGGGGGCAGGGACCCCAGCTCCAGTGCAGGAGCAGGGCCATTAGCGCCACCACAAATAGAAGGGGGCTAGTGAAGGTGCAGACGCATTTGTGAAATGAGGGTCTGCAGGAAATGACCTGGAAGAGTGGTCAAAGCCAACCCACTGGTCTAGGGTGAGAACAGAACCATGGCTGGGTCCCCATGTAGCGCCTCTCTCAACACCCTCTGGGTGAGCCCCTCAAAGGAGATGGGGGCATAGAGATGGGTTTGTAAACTCCCACTCTCTCTAGGGTGCTTGGGATCTAGAGATCAGGATCAAAAGCTAAGGAGGGGCAGAGGAGCAAATGCAGCAAACCAATAGGCCACCACCAGAGAACAGGGGAGCTGCTGGGCTGGGGGCTCTCAGGGCCCAGGCACAAATGGGGCTCTCACCCGAGGCAGATACTGGCTTGCCAACTGAGGTTGCACCCCAGGCATCCGTTGTTTTCCCAGCACTAGGAGCAGGTGGCTGTGAAGCTCCCCACGGGTCAGAGCTCTGGGGAACAGAGTGTGTGCTGGCTGTAGTGGGTGGTCCCCATGGGTCCACAGAGGCCGCCGGCTTGGCACCTGTGGAAAGGTAGGGTCAGGACTTAGAGATGCCTTCATAAAACTCGGAACACCTGGGATGAGAGGAGAAAGGCTACTGTGGGCCACACTGGAGTTTCTGCCCTCTATCAGGTGAAGCAGTCACCCAGTGGGCACTACTGTCCCTATCACAAGGCTGCGCAGAGCTGGAGCTAAGCCCCACCCTCTAGGAAGGGAGAACGCCAGACAATGAGATGGGACATCCTCTCTGGGAAGCCACAGAGGTCACAGTGAGACCTCTCCATGCTCTCTTCCACACAGTGGGCCTGTACTACAAGGGGCTCCCTGGACCAGCCCCACTTCCCCTGGGCCTAGCCCGCCCCCCAAAGGGCCTGACACTCTGCCCGCTCTGCCCTGATTGTCTAGCGACCCTGGAGGCACTTCCACCTTTGCTTTGAGTGGTTTCTGCTTTCAGAAGGAGTATAAGATGGCTAATAAAGAAAAATAACAAAGCAAACAACTATGTACTCACCACCCGCTTAAGCAAAAAAACACTTTCAAACTGTGGGGGTAAAATCAACTCTTTTTTTCTTTGAGACTGGGTCTTGCTATGTAGCTCAAACTTGTCTTGGACCTCACCATCTAGCTCCAGACTGGCCAACCCTTCTGCCTCAGCCTCCTGAGTGCTGGAATTATAGGCATGTGCCACCACCCTTTGGCTCACAATCACCTGTTTTTGAATTGAGAAAACCTAGATGCATCTAAAGTAAACTGTCCGTCTTAACATGTACCTCTTGTGATGCACCACATTTACACGCCACTATTGTATATTATCTTTGTATCCAGCAATATTGCTAAATATTAACAACTGGAAGTTATTCTAATTATTGATTCTAGTAATAATTCTAATAACTCTTAATCCTAGTAATTTATCTACAAAAAGTTTTGTATCACCTGCCAGTGCTAATTACCTGCTGTTTACTTCCTAGTATTTTATACTCCTTTTCTTACCCTACTGCACCGGTGAGGACCACCAATCACAACATAAAATCAGAAGGCTGGACAATGGTACTTCTGTGCCAGAGACCTTCCAGTGCCAGTTCTTTGACAAAGTCAGGCCTGGCAGCGGGTATCTGCAAAGCAGGGACCGCATAGGATGGGTGTGTGGCCTCTCTCTACTCTCTATTAATTGTAGCTTTCCAAATATTTACCGTGCTACTGATAAAGGATAGTTGGGGACCTGAAGGATCAGAACTGAAAGTAGTTAAGGAATCAGAGCCCAGGATAAGAGGCACCCTTTCAGGGTTGAAAGAGGGAGTAAGTCACCACGAAGATTTGTGTCAGTCCCCTACTTCCTGTGTGGCAATGTTCACCCACCAGAACCAGAGAGGAGCACTGTGCAAACCTCAGTGCATGGGAAAACATTAGGCAAATGCCCTGTGTGTGCTGGACTGCCTCTAGATGGAGATATATATGTGGGTCCTGCTGTCCAGTAGACAACTGAACAATGCTTTGAAAAATTACACCTAATCAAGAACACCTAGTGATTGATCTTTTTGCTTCCTTTTATGTGCTTTAGCAAAGCTGATTTCCTGCTAGGGTTCCAGCCAGGTGGTCGGTCAACCATGTCTGAATCTGTAACTAAAGGGCTGGGGATTTAGCTCAGTGGTACAAGCGGCTGCCTGGCAAGCACAAGGTCCTGAGTTCAATTCCTGGTACCGCCCCCCAAAAAATGAATCTGTAACTAAAACAGAAACCGCACTGTACCTAAGCAAAAACTGTTTAACCTGCCAAGTTTCATATGTAATTGCAAAAGTATATAATAAAGCAGAAAGCATTTCTCTGTGTCAGAGGAGCCTTGCTCCCCTGGCCCACCAGAAAGACCTCTGGTGTCTGTGTTGTCTCTTCGCTCACGTCATTCCCTCCTGCAGGAATCTCCCGGACCTGCTGTGGCCAGACCGTGGCACCTCTGTCTTGCTCTGGGTCTTACAGGGTAAATTTTCAACATTTTAGCATTAAATATGCTAGCTATGGGCTTTTTCTCCTTTTAGAAGTCTTTTATCAGGTTATAGAAGTTCCTCATTATTCCAATTTTGCCAAGAATTTTGCAATAAATGGCTGATGAATGTTATTAAACTGTTCCTGCCTCATTTATTAATATGATCATGGTTTTTCTTTTCATCTGTTAATTGGTACATTAATTTTCTAATGACTCAGTTCTTATCAAGTTTCCCATGATGTTTTACTTTTCTGATTTTGAAATTCTTTCACTAGAATTTTTGTATTAAATATTCATAAATGAAAGTAGCCTAAAGTATTTGTTCTCATACCATATTATCTCTGCCTAGTCTGATGTCATCGGTATGCCAGACTCATACAATGAGTAGGAATATACCGTTTACCTGTTCTCTGAAGAAGCTTGTATAAAAGGAGAACTGTTTCTTAAATATTGTTAGAATTTGTCTGTAACACTCTCTAGGTAGATCTGAGGAGGGAACATAGTTTAAGTACTGATATAATTTCTTTCATGATGATAAAACTGTCTCTAGCCTGACATGGTGGAGCACATCTGTAAATCCAGCACTCAAGAGGCTGAGGCGGGAGGATGGCTGTAAGTTGAGGTCAGCCTAGGCTTACACAACGAGTCCAAGGGCAGCCTGAACTGTATAGTGAGACCTTGTCTCAAAACGAAAAAAAAAAAAAAAAAAAAACCACCAAACTGTATCTATTTATAAGTTTCCTGTTATTCTTCAGCCTGCTTTGCCAAGTTTTCTCTTTCATATTTCACCTGAGCTTTTGGATTTGTAACTACAGAGTTAACCAAAAAGATTCTCACCGTGTTAAACTTTAGCGCTGTCTTCAGTTACACTGTGTTATTCCCTAACTCTGTACCTTTCCTATTTTTAAAAATTAAACCTACCAGAGACTGGATTATTTTATTCTTTTCAATTACTGGCTTCGTTCTTTGTGGATATTATGTTTATCTAGCTTATCAGTTTCTGTCTTCTTATGACTTCTTTCTGCTTTATTCAAGTGTACAATACTATTCTAGTCTCATTAATTCTGTGACTTTACTTATTAAAGCTACAGATTTTTCTCTTACTACTGCTTAAATTGTTCTATAAATTCTGTTATGAAAATATGTTATTTGGCTCCAAATGTTCTGGATTCTCATTACAGTCTCTTCTTTGATTTGGCAATTTATGAGTAGGAGTTGGTTTTTTGAGACAAAGTCTTGCTATGTAGTTAAGACTGGCCTTCAACTTACTATGCAGTTTAGGCTGGCCTCAAACACAAGGCAATCATCCTACCTCAGTTTCCAGAGTATTGGGATTACAGGTGTGGGACCCCTTGCTTGGCTAAAACTATTTTTAAAGTTTTGTTTGTCTTTTTGAAACAGGGTCTTGCTATGCAGTTCAGGCTGGCCTTGAGCTCACTTTACAGCCCAGGCTGGCCTTGAACTCACAATGATCCTCTTACCTCAGCCTCCCGAGTGCCTGCGCCACCATGCCCGGCTATTTTTAAAATTTCAAACACACTGTTTCTCTTTCTCTGTCTCTCCCTCTCTGCTCTCCCCTTACTGAACCCAGGGCCTTCACACTGATACACCCCAGCCTTGTTAATTCTGGTCATTTTGACACAAGGTTCCTCAAGTGGCCTTTACAGGCATGTGCCACCACACACAGGTGACGGAGGTCATATGCTTACCGCTTTGCTGCCTGTGTGTGTGTGGTACTGGGCACTGAGACCAGGGCCTCGTACCTGCAAAGCAACTGCTCTACCACTCAGCTGCATCTCCAGCCCTTGTTACTGATTCTTTTTTAAACTTAAATGTACTGTGATCCCAATTTTTAAAATTTGGTGAGGCTATCCATTCTGTCTAGTACATAACTTTTTCCAAGTATCCTACTTGAGATTGTAAAGAATGTATGTTCTCTTAATTGTAAGAACAAATTTGTTAGCTTATAAATTGCATCACTCAAGGTTTCCTTCATTCTTAATACTTTTAAAATACTCTCCCACATTACATCCCGTTTCTGAGGTTTTTTATTTAGTCCTGAAGATACCTGTCTCCATGGCATTGTTCCCTGTCAGCCTGAAGAACTTCCTTCAGTGCTGCTATACTGGCAATAAACTCAGTGTTCAATTACCAGGCGATACCATAATCTCAGCCTCATTCTTGAATAGTGCCTTCACTGATTACAGAAGTCTAGAGATAGCCCAGTGGTGTACTCCTGTAATCCCAGCACTAGGGAGGTTGAAGCAGGAGGATCGCTGTGAGTTCGAGACCAGCCTGGACTACAAAATGAGCTCAAGGCCAGTCTGAACTGCATAGGGAGACCCTCTCTCAAAAATACAAACAAACAAAAAATTTAAAAAATAGAAAACCACTCTGGAGGTAGACTTTTGTAGTTGCTTCAAAACTCCCTGCACCCCCGTACCAGGAATCGGACTCACGACCTCGTGCTTGCCAGGCAGGTGCTGTGCCGCTGAGCTAAATCCCCAGCCCCTGACCTTTGTAGTTGCTTCTAAACTTAAAAATACTTTTCAATATCATTCTCAGAAGAAAGATGACTTTGCTAGGAATAAATGCCCAGGTTGGCAGTTATTTTCTTCCAGTACTCACTGAAGACACACGGTTCTCCGTGTCTCTCAGCACTGCAGAGCAGTCAGCTGTCAGGTTACCTGCCCTCATGCCTTGTAGACAGCCATCTCTCTGGGTGCTCCTCGGTGCTGTGCAGCTTTCTGATAAAGAGCTGGGAGGACCCACTGGTTTCCTGCTCTGGAAAGCCCTCAGTCATCTCCCAACACAGACTCTTGTAAACTCCAGATGCAAGTGCGACACCCCTGCTGCCGCCAAATGGCTGGTCACACTGAGTCCTCACCACTCCCCGAACACCTGGGGGCAGCTCCCTGCCTGCGGCCTCTGGGCCTCCTGCTCCTTTACTGGGTCCTCTGCCATCTTCTACCTCCTCTTCATGCACTCCTTAAATCCTCTGGAATTTTCCCTCATCTTTTAGATCACATATATAGCAACAAAA